GAAAAAGGCGACGGCCGATCGGGGAGAAGGGGGTGGTAGGATAGAGGGAGGGAAAAAGAGAAAGATGAAGAGGAAAGGGAGTTGGGGAGAAAGAGTGAGGTCCTCTGAATGATAACTTAATTAAAGTAAGACAGGAAAACAACAGAAAAAAGAAAGCTGGACCGTGTGCCTTTCATTAATGAGACTGGCAGCAGGGATTAGAGAGAAGACTCATGGAGGAGGGAACAGAAATCTCAGGTTAAGTGGTATTCTCAACAGACTGTAGAGTTGGATTTGGCATTGATTGAACCCATAATAATCATCTCTGCTCCTCAAAATTACATTTGCACAAGTTTTTCCCAGGAAAAAGTGGCCTAAGAACGGTTTGGATGTAACTCCACATCTTTGCATCAATTTGTATTTGTGGATCTTTGAACATACAAATTACTGCCACCTCTACCTCCACCCACCACTCAGCCACTCTGCTGCAGCTCCGGCACATCAAACACACAAACCTCTGCTTGTTTTCTGTTCTCTACACGATGTCAGTGGTGACATGGGAGTGTTCGAACTGGAAGCCAATGCTACTGAGGATCAGCAAACCAGTAAAGGGTTGCCCACACAAATCAGTTTATCTGAAAGGTAATGTATTTTATGTTTGGTGCGATCACCATCTCTGAGTTAGCTGCCTTAGCTGAAATAGCATGCAAAACACCAATAACCCCTTGTAAAGCTATGGTGAAATGAGGGGAATAGAGGTATGTTATAATTATGTGATTGTTGAGGATGTGTTCTCGAGGCATTTGATGTACCCCCACTGTCGGAATCCTTTTCATGGTGTCTTATATCATATATAAGGACAATATGGTCATGTTCACAAGATTACATATGGCATATGCATTTACTGTAAATGGTATATGCTGTAAATGGTGTGAGACACACACACATACTTTATGTGTCAGTATCACAGTGGTTGGGCTCTTTGGAGCCTGTTGTCCATAATTCAGAAATCTATAATGCAGAAACTGAATGGCTCTACAATATAAAATTCATGGGAATGCACCCATTATCCATAATTCTTATACCACACATCTGCATCGTGAAAGTAGTCAGGTACAAGGGAAATACATTTGACTTCATATGGTATGAAAGTTAATGCACATAGCGTAGGGATGAGAGACATATACAGAGAGAGAGAGAGAGATGATCTATAATTTATTCAGCAAAACAACCAATGTTAATTTAATTTGTGTGAAGAGTTGCGCATCTCTTCGTGGAAAGGTCAGTGTCAGGTGAAACCTCAGTGTCTGTAAACATGAGGCCACTAATTTACCACAGAGTAAAGGTTAAATAATGGAACAAATGAGAAAGGTTTGCAAATGCTAAGGATCAAATATTTAGTAGATAAGCTTTCTACTGTATCATGTGACCAAAGGGAATTTCAAATACTGACTAACATACAGGCAGAAGGGACAGCTGGGAAGGTAGATGGCTAATGCCAATGCTCAAAATATACAAATAACTAAACTACATTCTATAGGCTGTAAAACCTACAGTGAGTGTTCCATAATCTACCTCCTGTTACAGTAGAGACATCCCTGTGTAAATCATGTACGATTAGGAATACATAGACCAGTCTGCTCTCTGTGCTTAGCTTTGGACTTGTCCACTCTGTAGCTGGGGGCCTCACATCCATCTTTCCCAATCTTCACTTCCTTACACCCGGGCCATGCTGGGTGCATTAGCTGTGTGTGTGCATCTCGAAACGTCTTGCTTTTCATTTTGGTCTCCATGTTATCAGGTTAGAGGAGCTACGATGCCCACATGACCCGCGTGTCTCCGAGAGTCAAACACTCACCTATTTTCTCTGTGTGCGGTCCACAGCAACATAGACAGTAAAAATAATCTTTCATCACAGATTCAATGTCTTTTTTTGTTTTTTATTGTGAAAACTATCTTTCTATCAACCATACAACATACTGCAGCTCAGTAGTAAAAAAAATAAAACTCAGTTTAGTTGCACTTATATGGCACTTACATGTCCCTGCTTTTTTGAAGAAAACTGCACTTACTTGATTCTTGCTGTTCTGGGTTTGTACCCTCATGGTTCAATGCACTTATTGTAAGTCGCTTTGGATAAAAGCATCAGCTAATTGAAATGTAATGTAAATGTAATGCAGCTTAAATCAAGGGACACTTTCTTGAGATTTAATTGAAATAAAACTGCTCTCAACATTATTAACATTTCTAAAATGTCAAACTGAGGTACTTGTAATATTCTGAGAGCTTCCTTTACACAGTGGCTGCGTTCTTATGAATCCACTGCATCGCAAGATGAAATGTTTCACCCCCACCCAACTCTTTTCAGCTTCGTTATTAAATTAAAGTTATTGCTGCTGCTGATTGCTTAATGTCGCTAATTGTGATTGCAAGCTGATTCGTAGTTAATCTTATTACTGTTTTTATAACACGGCAAGCTGGAATAAACAATTTACTATCTGTTTAGCATGTTGGTAGATGTGTCCAGGTAAGCCTCAAGAACAATATTCTTTACTGGCTCAGTTTACAGTGGTGCTGCTGCGATTTTTGCTCTCAGATGAAAAGCTGCTCTGAACAGAGCATGACACCAAGGTAAATTACATTTTCTGAAAAATATACAGAATTTACAGATTTCTGCTCAACTCTTTCTTCATCATACCAGATTGCTTGGAAAATAATGTGTTTAATGTAAAGAAGAAGCACCACAATCATTTGGATGCATTATAATAGAGCCATCGTCCCTGCAGTGGCGATTCCTGCACTGATATTAACTTGAGAATTAAGTATTGTCACTAAAGCCGTCATTACATAAGGGAAGACATTAGCCTGGGGTGATAGAGACAGGGTTACCTTTCATAATCATCAATTCATATCAGGGTCTTTTTGCACCTTTAAACCTGTCTTTGAAGGCTTGTGCTGTGGATGAGAACTGAGGAAATCATTTTACATATAGGTAATCCCTGTCCATTGCAATGAAAAGGAAAAGGTTTGAATTTACACTGTACAGGACAGGATGCTTAGATGGTTGCCATTTTTTTTTTCTCCTCCTATTCCTGGGTTTTAATTTTGCTTTAGCAATTTACTCGGAGCAAATTCAAACACACTCTGGGTCAAACGGGTGGATTCCTGTGGCTTTTCCCCTTGACTGTATGCTGCTCAGAGCCTGATTATTCTATATTAACCTTATTTAATATTAACCTTTTCTCCAGCTTGACATGCTGTATATCTGCCATGCTTTTATTGCAGGTTAGGTTAGGTGCACGTGAACACCATTTTTCGAGGGCTCCACATAATTTGCAAAGGCTACAAAAAGAAAGTTAATATGCTGGCAGTCTGAGAGGAATATAAGCCTCTCTTTAGTCATTTGATGCCATGTATGAATTTAATTGAATCCTAAAGACAGGCCAACAAATGCTCAGAGTGTTCGGGGAGACGGTGGCAGGAATATTGTATAACAAGTGCCTTAATTCCCTCAGAAGTAATTATGCTCTGTGATTAGGGAATTGTGCCTTAATGTAATTATGCTGTGCTTTAAAGATTAATTTTGTCTGTGATGGCATGCTGCGTTATGTTGTTGTCTCACCACATTATACATAATCACAGCTCCCTATCTCAACTGTTATCTGCAAAGAGTTCCCTCTGGTGTGGAGGATAGACACTGTGTGTTTGTGCATGTGTGTGGGGTTTTTTTTTATGCATGAACATGCACACAGATGAATCTCTGTCCAACTGAATTTCATGAGGGATTTATGTTCTGCAAACCTCGGTCTACTATGTAAACTCTATTCTGCTTGTTTGCACAATTCACTAAAACTGAGGAGTCAGTGCAACTAAGGTCTTTTCTTGATTCCAATGCATCAGGACTGTTTAACAAAACAACATTCAAATGTTGAGGTAAAAGCTATCTATGATTTCCTTTATCAAAATGATAGATTTATAGCTTTATGGTAAAGGGTCTATATTTCTATGGCACTTTTCTGGTCTTGATGACCACTCAAAGTGCTTCACAGTACAGTTAGTTATTTACCCACATACACACACACAATGAAACTATGTGCACTCTCTCTCTATCAGAGTGATAATTTTGTAGGGAAACACAAATCTTATTCTTTAATTCTTAAATTTTAGTTTAGCTCATATGTCGGTTTATGAACTACAAAGAAACTGAACAAGCAACATTACACCATCAATCCAGCATTTTTTCACTGGAACATTATATATATACAGTAGGTAAAGAGTCATAGCAGAAACACAATGTAGGCCATAATTATATGTTATCAATGACGTCAAAGAACATTAGGTGAAGGGCTGTATAGCTGCTGGTGGTCTCTGTCTGTCTCTCTCTAAATAATGATAAGAAAAATCACATGGCTCATACGGCATCTTTGTTACGGCTTTTTACTTTGTGGATAATGAGCTCACAACTAAAAATGATTACTATTATCCAAGGCTAATGGTCAGACGATATATCCATCATCTCGTGATTCCTGATTGTTATATTATTTCTGGTTGATTTGACCAAGGCTGAACAGCCACCAGGGAAAACGTCCAATACTCTCAAAATGGCTGTCCACCTCTGCATATTGTGATCAACAAATACTGCTTGAAAATGCTTCTAATCAATCTAATTATCATCAAGTTTAATGTAACGGGTGAGATGATTCTGCATCCTACTGGTGCACATAAAAGGAACAACCAAACAATGATGCTTGAGCTGCTTCTGTGCAGTTGTTATGTCACTTTCAGAAATAAAAAACCGGCAAGGTAGCAGAGCTGTTCTATACTGGTCTATACAGTAGTTACAGCCACAAGGAAAGAAATACCTGCATAAGAATGAGATGCAAATAAAGTAGAGAGCAGGTGCACTGAAGTTCTCTGGTAAATGTAGAAATTATGTAAATCCACTCTATGTGTTAGAGCAGAAATGATTCCCCCTCGCCCACAGTAGAACACCACACAGGGGTTCTGTTTTAAGTACTTACCCTACTGACTCCTCTTCCCCTGTCTTCTCCATAATTCGTCCCCAGGATTTCAAAGAAGATGTTGGGGTTCGTGCCGTTGTCAGTGAACTCCAAGAAACTTGTGAGGCCGCTCACTCCGAACTGCAAGTACAAGATGATTTTTTTTTGCTGTTATTGTTGTTTGGTAAAATGTATCACTGAATAGAAGATATAAATCTATTGCTGTGATCCGCATCCCATAATCATGGCTTTAGTTACCTCATCAAGCTGCAAAATGTGAACAAAATCATGTTTGTTCTTGTTAAGATCAGATATACTTGCATGGTTGTATTTTGTCTGTGTCCAAGACATAAAACATTGCAGACATTTTTCACTAGGAGAATATATTGACCTGAGTATCAAGGTAGTTTTAATCAGTACAAACACACAAACACATACTCGCACACACATGCACACACAGTGCTAGTCCCCAACCTTTGCCCTTCCTCCCAGTAGTGTGACCTATCAGTATAAGTGACACTGCAGCTGCTTCAGGGCAGCAGAAAGGTGTTATTCTCCTTAATATGATTCATACCATGTTTGTGTGTGTGTGTGTGTGTGTGCTATTTATGTGAGGTGATTTGGGTTATGATCCTATGCCTAATCAAATAGACACTTGCACATGCACCATCAATCTATATAATTACTAGTATACCATTTCACCATATCATTTAGCATCATGACACATTCATTTCCACACAACATTATAAATAATGTGAAGAAAAGGTTAAGCGTTTTCATGCTTTTTAAACTATTTTGTTATCATTGGTTAAGTTACTTTAATTAACAAAATTATTACAAGAGCAGAAGAACTGCCAATGGACATATACTTATATTTTTTAGTAAACATTTCTTATTTTACAAGCAGTATAATCACTAAATAAGCAGTTAGAACATTTTATCTAGAATATGCCAAAAATGACAACATTTTTAAGATAGTGTTCATAAAACCGGAACACACTTGAACTGTCATGACAGAAATATTTACTGCAGGACGGTTGTATTAGGCAACATTAGTTTTAACTAGGTGTACCAATAAACTGCTCAATGAGGGCAAATATATGATATGGCTCATAAATGCTGTTAATTGACTATTTGGCTAATTAATCTAATTTGACACGAAAGTATATTATTACCATATTTAATAGTTTTATTCCCCTAGGATGACCATACACACACACACACACACACACACACACTATAGCTCATTTATAGGCATGATTCACATTTATTTGCTTCCTTGAAAACCGGGCAAGGTTGAAACCTGTTTGGATACCGTTCATTGCCTTTTATAATTATTCAGTTAATTAATGTAGACAGCTCAGTACTGGCAACAACAATTATCTTTATTTTAATGGAACCTGGTGTAAATGTCATTAAGCCTGAAAGAATGAGTTAAAGGTAGAGGAATGAATAAAGATAAATAAAACAAGACTTAAAGGTATTTTTGGGCATTTGAAAGCTCCTTACAAATAAAATAAAGGTGAAAGAGCCTGTATCTTAAAATTACAGCTGTAATAATCCTCAAGAGTAGAGCTGAGACTTTGAAACAGCCCCGCGGCTCCTGGCTGAGGGTCTCGGGCTGCATCACAGGAATTACTGTGTCTATAAAACAATCAATAGAATTTTAAAAATAAATCCTAACACTGTTGAATCACTGAGACTAAAGAAGTGGATTTTTCAGCCAACAGACCAAACCCAGCATACAGTTCAACTTTAAAATATCCAACTGCAGTTTCTCCTGGTGCATTTCATTACCCACTATATGAACCTGTTTGAGTTCGACAGTAGAGCTCCTCATCAACAGCTTCAAATTAGTGTCTATAATGGCACCAGATACCGAAACACAGATTAAACACACAGAGACACAGCAAAGCACAAGGCTCATATACTGCAAAATGTAACTGATGCCAGAGTGTTCAACTGAACTCTATTACTGCTTTGGGCTCTTTAACGCAGCTCTGTCGAGACATCAGGGTTGGTTAAACAGCCTGGGCCGACTGATGAAAGCTCCAGACCCCAGACAGATCTCAAGGTGAATTGCGTGGATAGATAAGAAAGCTATTGCGCTGTATTTATTATTGTCTGAAGCTAATCCTAAATTAACATTTCACTTGGCTTCATCATTCAGTCAAATTGCCATCCCTGGAGTAGTTTTTTTTTTCTTTATTGATATCAAAACAGAGGGCATTGATCCAATTGGTTTAAACAGTGATCAAAGTGTTGCCAAACCCCCTAAACTAAAGATGAGATTCAGAGATTCAGCAAATCCAAGCCGCAGGATGAAAACCATTATCTCCCACAAGTCAACTGTGCAGGAACTGAGGGGAACTTGCGAATTGATGCACGTGTTCCTTGAAAGGTATGCAATCATTTGAAACCATTAGCACTAAGGTCATAAAGTTACTGAGCACATATCGGAACATAGAAACTATCTCTTGAAATAACAAAATCACATTTCCGTGGGATATTGACGTTCCTCTTCATCCCTGGAGAGGATTTGTGTTATAGCAAGAGATGCCAATGTGTAAATGAATATAGCAGTGATTGCATCTGGCTGTTTCAACTGCAGAGTCTCAGCCAAAACAACAATAGTCCCTGGTCTCAAAAACTTCATATAATGAGAACATTGTATTGAAATGCAAATACATGCTCTCTAAAAGAGCTGCAAAATAATGCATTTTTCCCAATGTTAAAAGAAACACAAGAAATTGAATATTGTGCTCATATGTTGTTGTTGGGACTGGGGATGGACATATGCTGTTGCTTTCAACTGTGGTAAATAAAACCTGAGCTCCAAGCACACAAAACCGTTTTGGTAGATTTAGTCAAATAACTCTTTTAGAACAACTCTTTTCTTTTTTTTAAAAACAAAGTATTTATGAGCTATTTTTAAACTGGCAAGGACGCGGCTACAACATCGCACAGCAGTAGAGCGCCGCAGGAGAATGATGAAACAGATGGCACGGTCCACAAACTGAGATTAGATATAGGTTACTTTGGGTCACAAAGATATCAACCACATTTCAAATATAACTCCAGAAACTGGGAGGGATTGACTGGTGATTATATAGTACAAATCAGATTGTATCTTTCATGCTGTTTCTTTTTACTTATATTTCAAAACGTGTACACCGCTTTTAACAACAGTAAGTTGGTTGAACAAAATCCTGGACTGATTATTTCTTTAAAACCACATTTGTTTAGGATAGCAATATATGAATCATGGAAACAAACACTGCTGGTAAAGTTTTACATTACAGAATATACATTTCTTTTTCCAAGTTTTTTGTCAGTTTAAGGTAATAGTGGAAGAGAATTAATAAAGATGTTTTCCACTCTCAAGTGTTTCATATATTTTCGCTATGGTTGTGCAACCCAAGAAAAATGTGGTTGTTTATTAACTGTCCACACAAATCTTTACTTAATTAGGGATGACATTGCAAATACATACATAACAGGGACTAGAAAAACAACCTCATGCTTGTATTTCTAAATTATCCTAACTACCATATTTTTTAACATGTATGCCTGTTATTGTGAAGCTGTGTCTTATTTAAATACTTATAGATGTATTAAAGATAAAATCTGTGAGCTTGTAGTTAATATGTGAGAAGTACATGGTAGTTGACAGTTAAGTGGTAAGATATGGGAACACTGCTGTTGGGCCACCACAGAATGTACGTGACGCTGACAGTCAGTGTTAGACGCTAACTATTTAGAAAGCTAGCAGGCACGTAACATAATAAGAAATGCAGAGGATTTTAAAGGATGGGAGTTCATGTGGATACTATCCTGAACATGAACCCATTTGAAGGCAGCATATTTGCGAGAGCGTTCAAGTATGCTTGAAAGCATTCTTAGTTGAAGACCTCCCCTCCAGACCTGCAGGATAGGGTATGCGCTCCTCTTGCCTCACTTTCATACCTTTTTAACAGTATCCAGCATGCTCTTGCCTCCCTGCCAAGGTTTGGAGTTCTTCCTGATGCAGCTCAGACTGGCCATGCTGTGCCACTTCCTATCCTCCAGCTTTCTGTGAAAAGTGTTGGCCAGCAGCAGCACGGTGTCATAGATGTAGCGGTTGGTGATCTACAGAAAAGAAAAGACAGAAAGAAAAAGGGGGAACCATTATAGCAATAACACAATAAGTACACAAATTAGCAGGTCTTTCAAGAGTTAAAATGTATTCTTTGGAAGTTAGTTTAGGTCTTCTCCTTCGGTAATGGTGCTGAGGAAGATGGACTGACTTGCATTAACTCGTTGATTTATTATGCACCAAGGGAAGGAAAGAAGAAAAGAAAACCAACAATATTTGCAGCTTCTCTCTTTCTCTTTGGGATTGAATCTCTTTAAACCAACATGTTTTGCACCTGTAGCGCATTAAATTAGTACCTCCGGCTCCCCTGTGGCTCACAGTGGACACATTTTCATATGAAACCTTTGCACACACATACACAAAAGAAAAACTCTGAGGATGACATGGATTAAAACGTATTGCAGGATCTTGGCAACACAGAAGGAGTCAGAGAGGTAGAGGAGTTCATTTAGTCTTTGATAGATTGCTGTGTGATGCACCGGGCCTCTGCTCTCCATGTTAATGAGAATATAATAAACAGACTACAACAGGCATGATTCAATGCACACACATGAACGCACACGCAGATGATGTATACCCACTCACATTAACACACATACAGACACAATAATATGGAATCACAAGCCATTAGCTCAGTAACAGTGCACCTCATATATCAAAAAGAAGACACACGCACACATGGGGAGACAGAGATGATGTATCCCTGAATTAAGTGGATAAATAATAGTTACAATAATGATAAT